GGGGGGGCACAGTTCCCCGCTGCTGCACGCAACCCTGGGGACAGAACAGGAGGCACATGCCCCCCGTGGGGCAGAGGTGGGCTGCCCACTGTGGGCTTAGGGCTCTGCACTCTGCTGACTTTGCCCCAGGAGCTAAGCCACATGATGACCTGTCAACAGGCTGGCAGGGAACATACCCCCTTCCCCTCAGTGGGTGGGCAGGGGACACCAGCCAGTGTGCCCCACATCCCCTGCCCCCCCAGTGGCCGACAATGGCATTGCATGGCTGAGCTCCCAGGGCAAAGGCAGCAAGGTGCAGAGCCCCAAGCCCACCTCTGCCCTGTGCAGGGCACGTGCCCCCATGCCTCTCCTGGGGGTGTGCGCTGCTGTGGGGAGCTGTTCCCCCTCCCCCCGCACTTCTGGACAACCCACCCCGTCCCGGGGCCCCATTCACCCCAGCCCCTGTTCCTGCCCCACTCCCTCCCTCCCTCCCTCACTGTGGGGGCCTCAATCTGCCCCGCCCCCCAGCCCTCACCTTTCCCACTGCCCCTTCCCCTCCACAGATTTACCAGCTGGGAAAATCCAGAGACCCAAGGGTTCAATCAGGATGAGTCAGAGCTATTTTGACTTACAATTCCTGTGTCTCGTGATGGTTTTGCGACAGTTGGCATTACTGGAAGTTGCCAACTATGGGTAGAAACAGACATTGAGGTCTGATTGCCATGGTCTTTGACTCGCACACAAACAGGAGTAGGACAATCACTTACATATGCAGCTTGAATAGCAATTAATTCAAATTATCTACACATGTCTGGGATAAAAAGTATTATCTTAGCTACTTCACAGGTACTTACAATGGGACAATGGGTCTGTACATTTGTAGTATTCCATGATAAAATTTTTTGTCCTGGGAGAAATATGATATCTGTTTTATGCTATTATTTTGCTGCCTACCACTAGGGTCAAGAACAGACATTTGCATTTGCTCCTGGAAAAGTTGCGTTTGTGTTGGCCCTGGAACAATATTATGGAATCGGCATGTATACATATCACCCTTCTAATCAGGGTTTAGTGAGTAGCTAAATACAGTAGGGTTGTATGAAGCTTCAGGTAGTGATTCAATTCGGAGGAGATTTGGCCTGATTTGGTGGCCAAATCTCTGAATCCAAATTGAATCAGGGGACCAATTCAAAGTTCTGAATCAATTCAAAGCTCTCTGAATCTTCGGAAAAGCTTTGAATTGGACAGTCCCGGTGGCTGCAGCAGGGAGCTGCAGCTGGACTCCGAGCTAGTAAGTACTAGGGGCAGTGGAGGTGGGGCTGGGGGAGGGGACCATGGGAGGACCCCTGCCAGCCCCCCTGAGCCCCCTCATTCCCCCAGCCCCCACACGGGTACCCACCCTGGCCAGTCCTTGAGAAAAAAAAAAAAAAAAAATGGAGAAAAGCCCCGGGACTCACCACTCCTGCAGTGGCCTCGGGGCTTTGGGGAGCTCATGCAGAGCGCCCCACATGGCACAGAGTAGTGGGGAGCAGTGGCGATCGCCCCCCTGCCAGCAAGAACGGTGAGTATGGGCTTTTCTCAGTTTTTCTTTTCCTTAAAGGGCTGGAGCTGGCCCAGGCGGGGCA